TCCAGAGACTCTATCCCGTATCTTTATTCACCACAGAAACCTTTAGCATAATCAGATCTACTGGGTGACAGGGCCAATTGCACCACGGCCAAAACTGCTACGATATCCTCTCTTGCTCCTAGGAATGACCACAGGGTGAGGGGTGGACCTATTGGACTTACTATGAGATATTCTTAGCCAAGATTCCTTTGATCACCTGGTCCCCATGTGTCCCATTCTAAGAGAGGGCCATAATGGCAATTCAGGTCTCTTACTATCAATGTCAACTCAGTCACTAAATTTACGGTATTCAGCAATCCGAAACATCTGAGTAGTCACCTTTCTTCAGACTAGAGTTATTCTGGTTAAATGTCCACATATCTCCCTGGGGAAAAATTAGGAGAATATTTATCATATATTCTTGGGGTAACATTTCTGGTTATTTTATTAAGGGGACCCAGCTTCTCTTTCAGTCAATAGGCTCTGGGTTTTAAAACTGGAGTAAGGGCGCCTGGGTGGCTCAGTTGCTTAAGCAACTGCCTTCAGCTCAGGTCATGATCCTGGAGTCCCGGGATCGAGTCCCACATCCGGCTCCCTGCTCAGCAGGGAGTCTGCTTCTCCCTCTGACCGTCTTCCCTCTCATGCTCTCTGGCTCTCATTCTCTCTCTCTCAAATAAATAAATAAAATCTTTAAAAAAATTAAAAATAAAAAAATAAAACTGGAGTAAATCTGCAAAAAGGGTGACAAACCAAAATGATCTATTCCAAGAGCTGAAAATAGCCTACTGCTCACCAGCTCTCAATTTTTTTTTTTTTCTGGCTTATAAGTCAAGGTGGCTAGCTACCCATATCACTCTTAGGTACACCTTGGACTATTAGCTAAAGTCATGGATATCTGATGTTAATGCACTCTGACTGCCACACCAGCCTTGCTGCTCATTACAGTAATTACATTCACATGGCTTCTGTTAATTAGCGTCTCCATAGGAATCTGATATTCTGGAAATTTATCAAACCCATCAACACTAGACATTCCAGTTCTATGGCAGCACTGCCTACTCAGTCCTGGGCCACAGAGGCTACCTATAGTTACCCAGATCATAACTGAGTTTCTCAAGAATGATAGTGCTCCCCTCTACAGTCTCCTCTATTCTATTCTCCTTGAGGTAAACACAGTCAGATGGTGGGTTCTCTGGTCTCATATAACATTATACATTTATAGTCTAACATCATAACATTATTATCTCTCCAAACCTTTGACCTTTCCTCGATACTCCACCAAGGCAGTTTTAGCATTTCTGCTTCACATACTATAAGCCACCATTTTATCCAATTTCAAGAATTAGCTCAGCAGCGTATTAGGTTCCAGGTGTCCTCGTGAAGATGTTAAGCCCCAAGTGTAACATCCCATGTCAATAAGCTTTTTCCCTTTCCAGCCACAGATGCTGACTTCTCTAGATACACATGTGCTCCCCTTGTTCCAGGTCCTGTATCCTTTCAGTGTGTACACAATACTTCTCACAGCATGTTCTTATTATTTCCACCACCCCTTGGGAAGTGCTGTAATCTGACCCTCATTTTAAGTCTGGTGAGGAGATGGTATATTATCTATGAGGCACCTGCTTCATGTTAGGTTTTTGGGGGAAGTGTCAAGGCAAGTTGAGGATGACTGCCTCCAACTAGGGTAAGGGAGCTGCTTCTGCCAGCCCAGTGAGTGAAAGAAAATCTGGGGTTCAAGATATGCCAGAATAGGCTCATCTACACAAATGTCCCAATCCCAGGTCTCAGGGTCCCACTCTTTTCATAAGGGACCCCTCATTTCAAAATAGGAGACCTGTCAAGGTTTAGTATTTAGTAGCATAGCCATCCTTACCATTAAACCCTGAGTTTGAATTTCCATATTGTTTGTGCTCCAGCTGCTGTAAATAGGGTTTTTCAAATACTGAGGTGCATTTTTCTGATGCTCACTGTATACCTTGAGTTTGTAGTTACCTATTTTTTTCTCAAATCTCCTAAAGACTTTAACAAAAAGCAGTCAACTCCATCTTCAACAGACTTCAGAATTAAAAAAAAAAAAGGTTGTATCAGACATTCCACCAGTGCAATTGTTGTCTAGGCGGAAACAGAGATTCCTGTTGCTTCCTATTCGACCATCCTCCCAGAATCCTCTCCAAATTCCCAAATTGTCATTTTTTATCAGTGGAGAAATACCAAATAAAATTATTTCAATGTCAGAATTATTTAAGAAAGAAAAGAAGCCTTCAACTTCATAGTCCTTGTTATTACCACTCTCTCCGTGTCAAGTGTTACCTATCACTTATACTGATGTTTGACCTACAACTGCTCCTCAAGCCAATCTACCACTGGAGAAAGTCTTAGTAATTGTGATGTTATACCAGGTTCATCACCAGAGGGGTCCCTATCACTAACTGCCCCAAGAGTGATACAATACCTGACTCCCATTCTGACAGGCTACTTTCTAGAGCTACTTCAGGTAACAATTGACTTAGCCTGGGTTCCCCATAAGACAGATCTGGGACAAGAGCCTGCATGTAGGTTGATTTTTGTAAAGTAATTACAAACAGGAGTAGGGAAGTAAGAAGAGCAAAACAGGAAATGAGAAAAAGGCAATATGAAATGTGTTATTAGTTGGCTATTACAGCTGTTATCAGTTGGCAGCTGAAGCATGATTCCTTTAGTGACCTTCTGAGGAACTGTGTGGAAGGGACCTCAGAATTGCTAACCTGAAGAACAAGAGAGGAGCATTTAACCACTGCCTCCCATCCTCCTTGTTCAAGAGTTGCCCCATGGGTTATTAGCTCCTTCACACATCCAGGGTAGTCTATGGTGAGAATGGGTAAGGGGGTTCCTGCATGTGTTCCACACAGCTGAGGCAGCAGCAAAGCTCTGGTGCAGGAAGCAAGGGGTACACAGTGCAGCTAAGGCAAGGTGCTGTGAGTTCACAGAGTACAACTGGTTGCTGTAGTAAAAATATTAGGCTTAAAGGATGAGAAGAGCTTTCCAATACACAGTAGGATAAGTGCTCTAATAAAGCAATGTTAAAATACTACGGAACCTTAAATGGGAAGGAGAAGATGATCCTTGGGCTTTGAAGCACGACTGGAAGAGTTGAGGGCTTCCCATCATTGCTTCCCCATTTGTATCCTTTTTCTTTTTAAATATCGAATTAATTATATTCATTATCTTCTTCCCCCAAAGCCTAATGTTTTAAAAAGGAGGAAAAGGAGGAGAAAAACTTATATTTTCTGTGGCAATTTTTTTTATGTGAAGAAAAAGTAGTTGCTGGCTAAAAATACAAAGTATATAATAGCCCTCCCCACCACCTTATCTTCAGGGGATATGTCCCAGACCCCCAGTGAATGCCTAAAACCATGATTAGTACCCAACCCTATATATACTATGCTTTTTTACTCTAGATACATGCCTACAATAAAGTTTAATTTATAAATTAGGAACAGTGAGAGATCAATAACAATAAAACCAGCACGAATTTCTTCTTTCCTTCTTCACAATTTCACAGATAGATTTGTTCTTACTATAGATCTCAGCAACCTCGGCACATAATTTTTTTTTTCTTTCCCTATTTAGTTGAGACTTTTCAATTCTTCACTTCAAGGAAGTACTTTCCAGCTTTTCTTTGGCACCTCTGAATTGCCAGTATCATCATCCTTGAGTTTTGGGACCTTTATTAAGTAAAATAAGGGTTATTTTAACACAAGCATACTGTGACAGCAGATCTGATGACCCAGATGGCTAAGTGACTAACGGGCCGGTAGCACATATACAACATGGATGCACTGCACGAAGAGATGATTCATGTCCCAGGCAGGACAGTGCAAGATTTCATCAGGATACTCAAAACGGCATGCAATTTAAAAATTACGAATTTTTTCTTCCTGGAACTTTCCATTTAATATTTTTGGACCACAGTTGACTACAGATAACTGAAACCAATGAAAGCAAAACTGCAGATAGGGGTGGGGGCGACTACTGCATTTACCCCTGGACTGTGACTTACACTTTACTGGAGCTGTGAAGAAGCATGAGAAAATACTTGAATAAATGCATGTACTGTGTAATCTATATAGGGGGTGAGAAGAGAGAATCTGCACGACACCGTAGTGAACAATTCAGAACACAGCAAGGAAATGCATTTATACATATATTAAACAACGGAATGATTATTCTTTCATGGTCCTGAAGTTGAAAAGCAAATTTGAAACAGTGATTACAAACCCCATTCTCAAATACTAACTTTCTATAGGGTGCACTGTTTGTATGTTACTAATGGACAAATTTTCCAAAATTCTGTGGTTGAATTGCATGCCCCTTTCAAAAGAAAATGGTTATATAAGGTGCTTTTGCTTGCTTGGTATTGGAAGAAGGAAAATATTTCTTACCTAGATGAGAAAAAGTTAAGAGATGTTCTAAAGACACCTAAATAGATAAAAAGAGGATCCCTACTGGGTTTTAAAAAGTTCACAAATCACAGCATTCAAATTCAATATTTTTATGGTTATATCTAAAATATTTGTGCTTTACTTTTCCCCATATTATAAACACTTATGCTTTATATCTGAACCTGTGATTCAGAATGACTGATTCACTTTTCAAATCAGGACACACTAAATATGTATCTCCTTTTTTTGGATTGTTTTATACGCATTTTTAAAATTGCTTCAGGTATTTTATAAGTAAGTCACCACAGACTATTTTAAATATGGCTTTCCTATCCAAAACTGGCATATTGTTGCCATATTAGTCAATTTTTAAATTATTTCCTGTATTTATCTAGGATGCCTAACACTGCCACCATTATATGTAGTTATGAAGACACTTATGGCCTTTTGTAAAAGTCTATTTATCTTACACCAGCTCTCTTTTCAGATAGAAAACATAATAAATGAAAAAAATAGTTAATAAGCCACATTTAGCTAGCACCAGTGACTGTTCTATGGAACAATATACAGTAGAAGTTAACTCCATTTAATTTACAGCTATTTTATAACAATATTTTATTAAGGTATAATTTACATATAGTAAAATCACAAATCTTAAATATACAGCTTGGGGAATGTTGATAAATGTATGCAGTAACTGTCAGCCAGATCAAGATACAAAACATTTCAACTACCCCCCCCAAATTCCCTCATGTCCCTTTTCCAACTAATTTTAATCCCCTGCTCTCACCCAGAGCAATCACTGTTCTGAGATGCATCACTACAGCCTAGTTTGGCCTATAATTGGCCTTCATATAGACGGTTATGCAGAATGTTGTACCTGGTTTATTTTGCTCAATGTGATGCTTTTGAGATTTATGTAGGTTATGGCACATACCAGTAGTCCATTCGTTTTCATGTTACTCCACTATCTGACTATATTGCAGTTTGTCTATCCATTCTCCTGTGGATAGAAACTTGATTGTTTATAGTTTTGTGTTATGAATAAAGCTGCCATAAACATTCATTTCTCTTGAGTAGATACCTAAGAATGAAACTGCTGAAACACAGAGTAGGTGTGTATTTAGCTTTAGAAATTTCCAGTTTTCCAAAGTGGTTGTACCATATATTACATTCCTACCCATAGTGTATAAAAGTTCTAGGTACTCTACATTCCCATTATTGCTTGATATTGTCAGTCTTTTTCAGTTTTAACCATTTAACCAGTGTGTATATTTTGTAATTTTAGTCATTTAGTGGTATCTTGTGGTTTTAATTTGCATTTCCTTGATGATAAGTGATGTTGACTTTCTACATACTTATTGGCCTTTTGTATATTTTTTTTTTCTGTGAAGTGTCCTTAACTGGCTTCCCCTTTTATTACTGGTTTATAGGAGTTCTTCATATATTCTGGGTAAGAGGTTCTTTGTCACATACGGATATTTTGAATATTTTATTCCAATATGTGGCTTGCTTCTTCACTTTTTTAGTGGAAGCTTTTGATGAACAGAAAGTTTTGATTTTGGTGAAGTCTAATGTCTCTTTCTCTCTTTCCCCAAAAAAGCCTTCTGGGATTTTTAACTGGGATTGTGTTGAATCTAGAGATCAATTTGGAAAAGGAAACTAGGCAGCTTATTTTCTCCTATATAAAGAAATCTATAGGTAGGCAGTCCAGATATGATACATTACTCTATTGCACTGTTCAGAACCCAGGCTCCTTTGTCTTACTGCTCAGCTGACCCTGGATTGTCTCCTCATTGGTACAATATAGCTAGTGTGTTACCTCAGGTTTCAATTATGCAATTCAGGAAAAAGGAAGGGGGAGGGCAAAGGACAAAAGGTAAAATGTGTATGGCATCTGAATCTTTCAAAAACATCTTTTCTTGAAGTTCCACCTAACACTGTATACTTACATCTCATTAAACTGAACTGTTTTATCATGTCATTTCAATCTGTAGAGGAATCTGGAAAAATGTCTTTGAGCAGTGACCCTAAAAATTCAAGTTCTGTTAGTAAAAAATAAGAGGATAAAGTATATCATTGGGTAGACAACTAGGTGGTCTGTACAAGTAATAAAAGTTCTTTGAAAAAAAAAAAAGTTCTGCAAGACTGCTATTCTCTGAGTTAAGAATGCTAGTGAAGGACCAGGTTTGGTGGAGAAGTTCATAGATGATCTACTAGACGGCTTTAAACTCTGAACTATACCACATCACAAAACTTGAAAAATCCTACACCAGGAGTGTTTGATGTTTACAAAATAAAGTGAAGATATTTTGGCATTTGGTTTAACAGCATTAAGAAAATGTCATTTGTTTGTAAATGAAAGCAGAAGCTGTTGCCCAACTTCAAGACTACTTCATTCCATTTCCTTCTACAGACTAAAAATAGTCACAAGACAGGAAAAACAGCTGGTTAAATACATATGTATCTTAATGATGCCTTAACAGATGTGGATCTCCTGCTCAACTGAAATAGGTCATTGTTTTCAACCCACTTCAAGAATGCATAGAAGATTCTGAGTAAAGAATTACTGTACATTACATGGAACTTAAAAAAATGCACAAATAAGATGTTCCAGTCTCAGGCTGGCTGAGGTTTAGGGAAGTGGGAGGAGAAATAATGGTGTTGGTTGACAGAGTCAGGGATATCTGGGGTGATGGTAATGCAAGGCAGATAGAACTGATTGATGTGACAGCTCCTAGACTGAATGACTCTGAGAAACATTTGAACTTCCTACAGTCATCTACAAACTTTCCATTTTCTTGTTAACTCATATACAACTTGCCGCAAAGATACTATATTTTCACTGACCTCTATGAAAGTAGTTGTTCTTGAAGTGTGCTGGTGATATCATGATTAAAAGAGATTATACATATTATTGATTTACCTTAAAAGATACAGAGAAGAAATGACTGATATGATCATCTACTATACTCCTAGACATCAGGTTTCTCTATTAACCACAGCTCTGATTCTGGTTGTTTCCATTCTTCTCCAAGCAGTGTATTAAAACTGAAAGGCTTGAAGTATTCCAGACGATGACTAAACACAAAGGAAAAGAAGGTGAGAATTGAAATGAATTCCGCATTTAGTAATTAAGTAAATTACTATTTACTTTGTCACATTTGTGATAGAACATTCTATTTTAAAAATAGCAAAGGTAAGATGTATTCTATGTATACAACTTTCTCACTCTTGCTATCAAACATTCAGCTCTGAAATTCACTGACATCTCAAAACACTCTCCTCTTAATTCTAGAAAAGCTCCCTCACAGCTGAGGGAAGAAATAAAAATCAACCCTCAAAACCTGACTCATCCTATCTAGCCTTAAACAAATATTATACTCTTAGAGATGTTTTTACATTCAAATTTTGATATATTTTATATGCCATATAGATAATCGTTTTAAAGTTTCAGCTCTGTAACTTAGAGGATAGACTACTTTGCCAAAGCAAGAGAGGTGAATGTAAAAGAGATTTGATCCTACTTCTTTTCTAAGAAAACCATTTAAGTATTGTGGCTTAATGAGGAGACAATGACTTAACTAACATGTTACAGTGGATCTCAGCTGTGCAGGAAATCGTTCCACCCTGACTCTACCTTGACCAATGGTATACTCATACTTTTATCTAGGATCAGTCTCCAGTAACTTGTAAATGAGGAGCCTGAATACAGGAAGGCATTAGCTGGTGAAGAGCCAGAGAAAAAAGCCATCTTGATATGAGGGCCCTGAGTGAGTTCCATCTGGATTCCTGTCCCCTTCTGCCTTGCACTGAGCAGGCTGAACCAGGCTGAACCTGGTTTAGAGTCACACTGTCAATCCAGAGTTAAGAAGTTTAGGAAACTTCCAGTTATGAAATGACTAAGTCACAGGGATAAAAAGTACAGCCTAGGGAATATAGTCAGTGGTATTGTAATAGCATTCATTATACGGAGACTGATGGTAGCTACACTTGTGAACATAGGATAATATACAGATTTATTGAATCATTACGTTGTATACCTGAAACCAATGTAACATTGTGTAGCAACTATACTTCAATTTTTAAAAAAATTAAAATAACAAAAGAGGTTAGGGAAACAACAGAGACGGATAAGAGGTAGCAAGAAGAGAAAGGCAACAGGGAAGGGTAAGAAAAAGAGTCAGGACTGGGGACAAAAGCAAAGGGAAATGTGTGTCAGGCAGAATAAAGGAATAGGCTAGAAAAGATAAGGCAAAGTGCGTGAAGTAAGAGCACGACAGGAAGGAAAAAGCTAACAGGGAGAAGGACAAGGTAGCACTTCCTAAGAGGAAAAAGGCAGGAAAGTCAGTCTACCATGGTTCAAAGTCCATCAGGATATCTCTTTAGGCTCTTCTAAACATGAAATCTCAGACTGGGCCACACCAAGTACACCCAGAGAGATCCAGAGCAGGAATCTCAGCTTGCCCCAGGACACCATCTGCTTCTACTGTGTTTATAGCAGTCCATGGAGCACTTATAAGGCTGGCCAGGAGCTATATTCTCCTCAAGTGACAGCTTCAGGCGCAAAGAGCTAAGACTCAAACTGAAAAGGTGTAGGAGATACCTTAGCTTACATGCCTGCTGCCCCACAGGAGCCATCTCTTGTAATAATAACTTCATTATTATAGTTTCCAGCATCCCCATGGGAAACAAGACTGCTAAAGGGAAATCCCAAAGCCATGTGGCCCCTATCAGGTATTCAGAGTTTATTCATAATTCCTCTCAGATCAGAATCAGTTTACCAATTAAGGCTCATTATTATGACAGGCAAAGTTGCTTAGAAATATAGTTGACATTTTTATCCGTATGAGCTTACTAGGGGAAGAGAGCTAGAGAGTTAACTGAAGATCACATTCTCAAACTGCAAGAAAGGATTTATTAACCCTTTACCCACACCAGGAAACACAGATGTCTCTGGCCATTTAGCTCTGAAAGGGATCATAAATGAATCTGCAACCATACTTTGATACTTGCTGTTGCAATACTCACTAAGCAAGATTTTTCTCATAGCACTATGGAAATATAAGTGCTCTACTGACAGCAGTGAGAGAGACTATGTCTGTCCAAAGTCAGTCTGTCAAGTATTTACTGAGGACAATCAGGGAACACATGGCTCTGCTAGGCATTTGTACACATACGTCTTCTTGGAGTGAAAAATGTTACTACTGTTCTACCCAAAATTAGTTTCCAAAAAACTCAGAGTTGGAACCTATCTTCATTTATTTTCTACTTACAAATCAGGTTTTTGTCCTTGTTGCAGTTCATGTTGAGGTACCGGGTAGAGAGCTTCGTAGTTTCTTTTATCTTTTGATCCATGAATTGCAAATGAATTGAATTTTGTCACACTTGGTGGAAAATAACTCCAAGGAAGATAAGCTCTGCCTTCCCATTTTGTCTCTCCTCTAGACACTTTGTATGACAGAGCAAGTTCTTGCTACAGAAACAACATGTGAAACACAAAAGGTAAATTCAGATTTATACTTTAAACATTTTATATAAGATATATATATCTTTTACATATGACATATATATCTTTAAGATTACATTTAAGGATTTTGTCTAATATTTTTATTTACTTACTTTCCATACATTTCTTCTTCCAGAGAGTAAGAGCACCAAATGTTGTCCATGACTGTCAAAATTAAAACTCATCATGAGTGTTTGAAAGAAACAAATGTTATTTTCTTTACTTTCCTTCATATCTGCAATATGTGCTTATAACTAAATTTCCAAATAATTAAAAGATGCAATATGAACTGGGGCACCTGGGTGGCTCAGTTGTTGGCATCTGCCTTTGGCTAAGGTCATGATTCCAGGGTCCTGGGATCGAGCCCTGCATCTGGCTCCCTGCTCAGCGGGAAGCCTGCTTCTCCCTCTCCCACTCCCTCTGCTTGTGTTCCTGCTCTTGCTGGTCTCTCTCTCTGTCAAACAAATAAATAAAATCTTTAAAAAAAAGATGCAATATGAATATTGGATAATTATAGGGAGAACCAGTGTGTTCAGTTACTCAGAAATACCAATCTTTGAGTTTATCATTTTTCAGACAACTGCAGTCAAATGCATAAAGCTACACATGTCCAGACTGCTTTTTATATTCTGTAAATAAGAAATTATATAAAATACTTCAACTGGTTAGATGGTGCAAAGTATGAAAAAGGGGTGGAGGATACCATAGTATCTGGTGCTCATAATTAAACCCATTTCAGAAACTAAAGTATCCTAAGGGAAGCTGGCACCAATTTCTAAGTCTGAATCTAACAACTTTACTAAAGGTTATTTCGGTAAAAAACTATCTTGAAGCTCATTAGGAAGACAGAAAGTAAAAACATAGATTGTCTAATACAAGTCAACAGGCTGAAGATTTTAATTTGGATCTATTCTCTCCCACAACTGTCCTCGACCGGCCTGCCTCTTGTATTTTCCTGCTTTCTACCATTAGTTTCAGACACTGATGACATATTTTCAAAGAAACAAAACATATCCTCAGATGGAATTCTATTAAGAAAGCATAATTGGGATTAGCCAGGTCAGTAAGAATCAAAGGATTTCAAGTAGTTACATGAAGCAAATTTACTGTCATTGGAAAAGACTAAACATTTCTCCTCAGATGGTCTGTTGTGAGCTTTTCAGGGAGGATTTCCCTGCAGTAAACTATTCTAACAGAAGACAGGTATTATTTTTCATTAAAAGTTCTCTGCTTATTTTTATTATTATTATGCAACTTTAAGAATATCCTAAGAGGGATAAAAGTCCTTGCAAATTAAAACAACAATATTCCCAGAGGTTAATTAACTGTCATAGAAGTTGACTGCCTGAAGCAAAACCATGATTCTTGATTATTAACTGTCCCGTAATATATGAAACCAAACTACTCTATGGATTTTTTAACTTATTAATAATTTAACTTAAAAATCTATTTTTTAAATTATTAATTTTATACATAATGGTTATCATATAATTTTAATAAGAGAATCTAATTATCCTATTCATCTATTACTAAGTCATCACCTTGTGAAAATAAATTGATATCATCTAATAAAATTAAAACTAAGGATAAAACTAGAATTCTAGCATATCCAAGTTCTTAACTGCTTTCTAGACAAGTTATAAATCTATTTGCCTTAGCTTTCTCACCTTTATGATGAAAATAATCACACAAGAGTTGAAGTTTTCTTACCTCACATGACAGTTAAATCATATTTTTCAATAAAAGATTCTGGCATGTTAGTTAAAAGGTAACACACAAAGATACATGATTATTCTCAAAAAATATAACTGTGAACAGCTATTTTTTCTACCTTAGAATTAGCAAGAAATCAAACTAAGGAAAATGAAAATGGTATCTAAAATCTCACTTAAATCAAATGTTTGGGATGCTGCCCACCCTAAAAGGGACAGAGGCTACTGGGTATTAGATACTGAGAGGTATTTAAAAGTCAATTAAAATGAATAATGGCAATACAAAGAAATATTTCATTACTAAATATTTTACTAATTTAAAATGTTATATAGATGACAGGCATAAATTTACTTTTTCACATATATAGGAAAAAACTGCCAACAAGGTAAAGAGGGTTCCCAAAGGACTGGTTAAATTTGAACAAAAGAGTCCAAGGTTAATATTTTTAATAAGTCTAAAAAAAACTATGTGTGATTTAATTTTTATCCCTGGCACTGAACACGAAGTGACATAGTATATACTCAATAAATGAATGATGAATAAAGGAGAGAATACATAAATATATAATTACATAATACATAAAATTCAAGTTTAATATAGTTGTTTAAAAAATTCTCTAAAAGAAACTAGTTCAATTCATTGTATCTATATCTCCCTTTATTTCTGAATAGCTAATACATAATGATGCAAATTTCAGAATAAAGAGTGAGAGACAGTTTCTGTTATTTATAATGATTTTTCATTTTACAAAAAAACTTTCCATTTATTAGAAACCCAGCCACATTAGTGAATTGAAAATAATATCAACATAATATTTTCAAACATTTATAAAATATGTTATATGTTTACTCGAAAATAAAGAATTATATATAATTCAGATTAGCATTCCTCCTTTTGGTTGAGCTTTTACCATGGACCATATAATTTATAACTAGAAATTAACTTATTCAAATTATGTAGTAATTAGAAAAATTTTATACTTACGGACAAAGTTCAACTTCTAAATACTGTTCAGTTATGTCATTCAAGAAAAATGTTTCCACAACTTTTGAAAACAGAGATAAGACATACCGAGAAATTTAATTTTACTTCAGTAATAAATAATTTGTTTATTTTTTAGAATATAAAATGAATTAACTCATTATTTTTAACTATAATTCTATCCCCATAGGAAAAGGGGAAAAGCAAATAAATACACATTGCCTGGAAGAAATACACAGAAAATAAATCATCAATTTTTTCCCATATCAAATTGTCCTAAGTTAAAAAAACTAATAAAGCCTAGTGTTGGGTGAGGTTCTAAAAAAAATGAATGTTATTACGCAGACTTTGAGCCAGTTACCTTCTTCTAGGAATTTATCTTAAGGAAATAATCAGACAACTGGGAAAAGTAAGTATAATGCTGTTCATCAAAGTATTGCTCAAAAATAGGGAATGATCTACATGGTTATCTCCTATGATATAAATAAAACTCCTATTATATAGGAGAGCTGTTAAATAAATTATGGAATTTATATATTCCATGCAATAGAATGTAATGCCAGTCATTACAATCAAATATAAAGTTACATATTTTTTGATATTGGAAGACAGCCATGATATTTCATAAGCAGGCTGCAGAAAAATAACCAAATGTACATGGAATAAGAATGTGCATGTGTGCCTGTGTGTCTAGATGTCTGCAAAGTATGCATACACACACAAAAAATGACTTGTTATCTCTGATAGAGGGAATACAGGTAGGTGATTTTTCTGCTCTTTACAAATTCCTGGAGTTTTCTGAGCATGTCATCCTTTAAAAATTATTTAATTATGAAAGTAATATATATTTCTTATAAATGATTAAAACAATATAAACACATATGAAGTAAAAAGTCAAAGTCCTTTTCTTCACACTTTGCTCTAAAACCTGTCAGACTTTTTCTGTCCTTCTACAGCCTATTTTACTTGCATGGATTTTAAAAAATAAATATGGAATCATACTTGCCTACAACTATCCTTTTTCACAAAAAACTTTCCAGCATATAGAATCCTAATGCTTTTAAATTACTACATAGTACTCTTCTATAGAATGTTATAATTCATTCACATCATCCTTTATGATAGACATTTAGATTGTTTCCAGTTTTCCATGTGTTATTTTTATAATGACATATCTAAGATACAGAGTTCCATCAACAGTTCAGAGTCTTGTCCCTTTCTAAATGAATTAGAATGCTTCCATGATGCTTAATTTTATGTGTCAACTTTAATCACAGTACCCAGGTATCTAGTCAAACATTATTCTAGATGTTTCTGTGAAGGTATTTTTTTGGATGAGATTTAACATTTAAATCAGTAGACTTTTAGTAAAGCAGACTACGCTCCATAATGTGGCTGAGTCTTACCCAATCAATCAGTCTCATCCAGTCGTCTAAGCCTTAACAGAAAAAAGACAGACCTCCCCTGACCATGAAGGAATTCTGCCAGCAGACCAGCAGACTCAAACTGCAACATCAGCTCTTCCTTAGGTTTCCAGTCTACTGCTCTACCCTGCAGATTTTGTACTTGCCAGCCTCCAAAACTGCATAAGCCAATTCCTTAAAATAAATCTTTCTCTACACACACACACACACACACACACACACACACACACACACACACTTTCTCTCTTTGTCTTTCCCTCTCTCTCTCTCTCCCTCTCAGTCCTGTTTCTCCGGAGAACTCTAATACATCTTCTAATTACTATTTTGCATATCATCTTAAAATCATTTTTGCATCTTCTCTATATTAAATACTGTATCAAATTCTGGGAGTACCTTAATTAGTTTACAATCTAATCAGACATGAAAGTGGATACTCTTCTTTTTTAAGATTTTATTTATTTATTTGAGAGAGAGAGAGAGCTAGGAAGAGAGAGCAGGAGTGGGGGGTGGGGGTGGGGAGAGGGAGAAGCCAGAGCAGGGAGCCGGATGCAGGACTCAATCCCAGGACCCTGGGATCATGACCTGAGCTGAAAGCAGATGTTTAACCTACTGAGCCACCCAGGGGCCCCGCAAGTTGATACTCTTTTAATAAAATTACCACAAGGGAAGGAGATACAGGTTGCTGCTACACACAAAAAAAGAAAACACTTAGCTCCAAAAAGTGGTTTAGGGAAGGATTCCTGGAGAGAGTGTTATCTAAGCTCCACCTTGAAAGATGAGTTGGAATTGGGGGAAGAATGATGGAAATCGGGCATCCCAGGGTGAGAGAGAAGTATAATCAAATGTACATGATTAGGACATATCATCCCTTAAAGAACTACAAGCAGTTCAGTCTTCCTAGGTAAACATTTCAGTGCACAAAGAAGTAATGCTGCAAAGAGAATAAGGGGCTAGATCATGGAAAATCTTATATAGAGATCATAACAAGAAGGGTGAAACTATCCTGAGAGGACAGGAAGCCTGAGAAGGTTTGTAAGGACCTGAATTATGAGTTTGAATTTTCATTTTCGATAGATCACTCTGGCTTCTAAGTGAAGGATAGACCTAAGGGTAAAAAGACTATTAAGGACGCTTTGACTAGCCCAGGTAAAAGATCATAAAGGCCTAACCTATGGTAGGGATGGTGTGAATGAAGAGGAGGTACTAAATTAGAGAAACATCGGGCTCCTGGGTGGCTCAGATGGTTAAGCGTCTGCCTTCAGCTCAGGTCATGATCCCAGGGTCCTGGGATCGAGTCCCACATCGGGTTCCCTGCTCCTCGGGAGCCTGCTTCTCCATCTGCCTCTCTCTCTCTCTCTCTCTCTCTCTCTCTCTCTCTCTGTCTCTCATGAAAAAATAAATAAAATCTTAAAAAAAATAAATAAATTAGAGAAACATTTAGGAGGTGAAGCTGATAGGACTCATAAATCTAAATATGGAGAATGAGAGAAAGGGACATCTTGGAAAGATCTCATATTTCTATATTTAGTGAATTGATGTATTATAGTGATTGGGCACATGGGGAAAGAAGCAGATTTATGAGAGAAGTGGATGAGTTGAGTTTAGGCTTCTTCAGTTTGGTGTCTATAGTACCTCTAGTAGATAAGTCACATTAATGTCTATACCAGTAAGTAGCTGGTATGTAAAAGTTCTGTATCAGTAAAAGATAACATATGTTTTACATATGATAAATTAACACTGAAAAATGCATGCTATACAGATGTTAGTATGGACTACAGGAATCATCAAAGGTTTCTTTAAAGAAATGAAACCTATATTAGACCTTGAACTAAGTACATTAGAGGCGGGGGGGTGGAGGTGGGAAATAGAATGAGAAAAGGTACATGGGTTAGAATATGCATGGAGAGTAAGACCACTAGCCTTTCAGAAGTCAAGAGTTTTTGGTTGACATATGATTCCACTTACATATTGAATCTAGAAAACAAAACAAATGAGTAAACAAAAGGTGGAAACAGACCCATAAATACAGAGAACAAACTGATTGTTGCCAGGGGCTGGGGGGGGGTGCAGAGGGTAGGGAGATGGGCAACATGGATAAAGGAGAGTGGGAAATACAGTCTTCCAGTCATGGAATGAATAAGTCACAGGGATAAAAGTCACAGCATAGGGAATACAGTCAATGCTACTGTAACAGTGCTGTGTGAAGACTGATGGTAGCTACACTTGCAGTGTGCATAGCATAATGTACAAACTTGTCAAATCACTATTTTGTGAACCTGAAACTAATGTAACATTGCTATATTAAAAAAGAGCTTTTTATTGAATAGAAGAGCCCAATTTATGAGTACTCCGAAAGCTTATAAGAGGGTTTGAACTTTATTTCAGGGATCGTTACGGTTTGTGATCTGAGGAATGGAATCATAAAGAGTATTGCAGAAAGATAAGTTTGGTAGCCTAATTACAATATATTAGAAGGGGATCATACAGCAAACCTGGCACAGTGTAATTTTATGGCATGTCCTTTAGCCTTCATTTGACATGTGAGATTAATTGCCAGTATAAAATGGAAACTACATTTCATATTAAAGTTGATAGTATTTCTATAAGTGAAACATCCCCAAACTTCCACAAAGAAGGTTTATAAGGTTAAAGCAGCAATTTGAAGATACTTAAAGACAAAACAGAAATGGTGAACTCTTTTTAAAATAGGTATCAGAAGTAAAGGAAAGAAATACGGCTGCAATTTAAAAATCTGGATTTGTACTTGCCATTTTTCACTGTTCTAGTTATATAGCTGAAGTCACATAGGTGATGGTGAAAAAGAATAAGAGACTGGTAGAGAATGGAAGAAACTGCACATGTCAGTGGTTCAGAAGAGCACTCACTTCCATACAGCAAGATAAAATAATAATTCAAGGAGAGGTTATTATAAAGAGATTTATATTTGCAATAAAATACAGTACTTCCACTTACCTTCATAATCCCAGAGTTCATTGTAAGGTTTTCCTGGTTCTCCGAGTGGGGCTGGAGGATCATTGAAAAATGGAGCACTAACTTCCATCATCACCCCTCCATCACCTGGATTCAGCCTGACAAACACTGGCTCATGCTTCACCAGAAAACCATCCCACGTGTGTTCAATTTTAAAATCCATCTGAAGATTCTAAAGGAAAAAAAATTAAAACAAACTCTAACAATAAACAAATGTTTCCTTTAGTTGGAAATGAAATGAAAATTTCAATGTCAAAAAGCAGACAGGAAGGCAGCAGAGTGACAAGAACACAGTTCTGAGAGTCAAAAGGCCGTTTGTATTATGGCAAACCATGGACAGTTCTATTGTAAAATAGGTAATTGGATCCTAAAAGTTTTAGAACTAGAAAAGTTTAAGAACTAAGTCTAGATCCAGCTCAAGTCACCTTGTAAAGAGTATATCAAAATCATTTTTAAAAACTATAATTAAGTCCACAGAAGAAACTGTTCATATATACTTATGAACTTATATACTTAACGACTATAAACACTATGAGTTTCTGTGCCATTCTTTGTCTTTTATTCTAAAGTGTGCAGGTGTCTGAATTATTGGATCCCTTAGGAATCAAGATCTTTATAAAATTCAGTCTGATAAAAAAAATAACTATAAATCAGCAGAAGCACTGCTGCTAACACTTGTTTCTTTGACTAAAACCCTTTCTTTGTAGGGTGGGAGTTGCAGGGAGGGGAGTACTCCAACCATTTCAAGGTTAATAGAGTTTAATATTGTCTTCCTTGGTCTCAGGGTATAGATTTTCTTAGCTGCTTCAATTGTTGAAATTTCACATGTTAAATGACCACATGTTTGGTTAATCCCTTCTCTCCAATTGAAAAATGGGAACAGATTTTATCATTCAAACTTTGAAATAGACTAAATACATTTGCTACAAGCAGTCTTTGCATTTTAGATTTTTTCTCTAAGGATTAAATGGACATAAATAGCATTATATTAATAAAATTACATTTTCTATTAAACACTATGTATCAGGCATTTTACAAACATTATCTCATTTAATTTCACAACAAACTTGCAAAGGAACTATTTTTATCCTCATTACAAATGAAGACATCGATTTGTCCAAGGTCACACGGCTGGCAAATCATGAAACTGAACCAATGTAAGCCATGTTTTCCCAGATGAAGATATTTCAGGAATCTGCAAGGAGATGCAAAATTTATTTTAAGAGTGGTAGATTCCCCAAATCATATTAGGTCCTTATATCTTGTTCTTGATTAGTAAGGATGCTATTTCCAGACTTCAATTTCCCTTATCTGAAGTCTTTGAATACATGTCCTTGCTTCATATGTTATTTTTACCGCAAATAATAAAGTTAAGTTTTGGATAAATTTATTTCAATTAATAGGTATTGAGTACCTATGAGGTACCAATCATTCGGAGATCCGAATATATAAGCTCTGTGGCACACAGGAATCCAAGATCTCTGAAAACCTTTTTCTAAAGTATGCGGCTCTTTCTAATTTTCACTCCAGGCTAACAAATTTTAATTGATAACCTCAAAAATTTTAAAAAATAATTCTGGTATTATATAACCCATTTGCAACTAATAGTATTTGAGAAGAGGATATATTCAACAATTTATATTCCTTATTATTAAAATAAGCTCAATGAGTGATAAGATGGTATAAACTGATTCCGATTTTTGTAGAATTTAGTACTGATTTATAAGGAATAAAATACCTCAATAATATACTGATTTTCTTTAGTTGAAATATCAGGTACATTCTTCATATATAAATGGATAAATCTCTATCCCAAATTTTGGTACTAGTAAGTATCATCTTGAAGCATATAGGAAGAAATAAGAATAAATCAAGATGTTAGAAATGCTGACTAAATCTGATTTTTATACCAATATGCTGAGAGAATATGCTATTCTCCTAACTTGGAGCTTGACAATCCTGGCAAAATATAACTTAGCGACTAAGAAGTTTTGGCAGATTCACTCATTCTCCACAGAACCACCATATCTACAAAAATACTGCACACATTAAAAGGATCCCTATCCTAATCAGTAGGGTTTCCACTAGGAATTTCCAACTCCCAGCTCTTGCAGGCAATCATCTTTACATCTAAATGGAATTAAAGCATATCCAGGGATTTGATCCTAAAAATGGCTGGTCAGTTCCATGCACACATGGTGGGTCTTGTGGTCAGAGTGAGGTGTACTTTATAGTTTCAAATTAATTCAAAATGTAATCTTTACCTGAAAGTTAAGAAGAAATTAAATATAAAAGCAGAGCTAATTTGCTGAGAGTATAAAGTAGTGGTACCTCAAGACTTTGTACTGGTCCTTTTCCCTGATGTTTTTGAGCAGTGTTTGAAATTACTGCAAGAAATACTGACTAGACTTCCATCAGCAGGGAGGAGTGCCATGGCTGACATGCCCAAGGGTAGAATGTAATTTTGGCTTTAATTGCATAAAATGGCATAGTTTCCCATTAGAATGACAAATTTGTTAATTTGCTTAAAGAATACTCATGTTAATCCAAGTTAATCCAAGTGTGCATAATATTTATAACAAAAGTAACCTAAAAAGTATAGTCCTGCCCACTAGTTTACAATGTAATCTAAAGATAACATGGACCCCGACAGAAACAACTGATTCTCCTTTCAACTTCCTGGGGATACTTAGAACTGTCTCCTGAAGCTTAATTCTCACTACCTCTCAATTTTTTTGTTCACGCACGTGCTCATATGAAGTAAAGACAGTTCAACTATCGATGTCCTTTGTGACCTGCACTAGTGTGCATCCTCTGCTCTACTTCCTGTCATTCTCTACTGCCCGTACACTGCTCTGGTCTGGTCTCCCCATTCCCAAATAGAATGCCTGTAAGTAATAGGAACTCATTATTTATTTGTCAAGTGAATAATCACCCTAGTCTCTGGATCCAAAATTTCATGATTCTAAGGCTTTGTGCAAAAGAAATCAGATACCACAAATTGTTTGTGGATCATTCTCTTTCAACCAAAACAAAGGTAAGTAACTAAAGTAATATATCCAGAAACTTCCTTTCAGTTTAGTTTATCAAAGGTTTATTAACTAATCACTTGTTTCGAGTACCATACTAGGTGCTAGGGAAATTAAGCATAAGCCTATGGGGAGTTAGAGATGATTCTCATGTAGCTAATCAATCAGGTCTCATGTAGCTAAACCAGCTAGGTCTATTATCAATCGGTTCATTTTGTAGTCCAATTTAATAAGGTCAAATCCCTACACAAAACTAAGTTTTAAATGAATCAAAGATTTACAAATAAGAACCATATTAAAAAAGAAAAAAATGAATTTTTAAAGATGACCTTAGAGTAGAAAAAGCCTTTTAAAATATAACCCCAAACCCAAAAGACATCAAAGAAAAGAGTGATATATTTGGCTGCATAAAAATAACAAAACTGAAAGCAGGGGGTGCCTGGGTGGCTCAGTCATTAAGCGTCTGCCTTTGGCTCAGGTCATGATCCCGGGGTTCTGGGATCGAGCCCTGCGTGGAGACCCGCATCGGGCTCCCTGCTCAGCGGAAAGCCTGCTTCTCCCTCTCCCACTCCCCCTGCTTGTGTTCCTTCTCTCGCTTTGTCTCTCTCTGTCAAATAAATAAAATCTTAAAAAAAAAAAACTGAAAGCAGAATTCTGCCTACACCCACCAAAAAAAGCCCACCATTACAAAATCAAAAGATAGTTTGGGGAAAAAAATATCTGCAACTTGTATTTCAGACAAATAACTAACTTCTTTAATGTTTAAAGGGCTCCTAAAAATCAATAAGGAAAAAGATTCAATACCCCAATGGAAAAATGGGAAAAAACAGTTGACAGAAAGTAAATACAAAATGTTCAACCTCACTTATGATAGAAATGCAAATTAAAACAACAATAAATTACTATTTTCACCAATTGGAAAGTTTGATAACATGCTGTGATAATGAGGACACTGAGAAATAATCACATTACTGTTGGGACATAACTGGTACAGCCTCTGTGAAGAGCAATCCCTCAAAATCTATCAAAACAAACAAAAAAGCAAATATCCTTTGACTCAGTAATTCTAGTTCTAGGAGTCATTACACCTGCACATATTCAAAATGACATAAGTATAAAGATATTCACTGCAACACTGTCTACAATAACAAAATACCATAAGCAATTTCAATACCCATCAGTAGAGGACCGGTAAGGAATTTACGCTGTATCATGCAATGAAATACTATGTAGCTGCTAAAACAGAGTGAAGCAGCTCTCTCTATATATCTAAAATATATTAAGTGAAAAAAGGCAAGGTGCAAGAAGTATGAATTTATTTTATTAAAAAGGAAGACTATTTGCATCTATTGTTGTGAATGCATACACTATCTCAGGAAGCATATATAAGAAACCAGTGGTGGCAGTGGTTACCTCTTTTGAGGGAATTATCTGCTTGTGACAAGAGAGCAAGGGAGGCTTACTTTCAACTGTTATTACTTAAAAAAAAAAAACTACCTGAATTTTATACTATGATAGATATACATTACTATTAAAAAATTAAATGAATAATTTAAAAATATTTTTTAAAGTCCATTTTATGGCTGGATCTCTCAGAGCACGTGATATACTTCTTCTCTATATTATATATGCTGAACATTTCTTAAATGTCAGAATGAATACTAGGAATATTAGAATATATTCATTCAAAGTGATCACCAGCCTAATAGGCAATTTTGATTTTGACTGTTTAGACTTTCTTAAAAGAATGTTTATTGTTAATTTGTTTTTCCACATTTTAACCTCTATTCTTCAAGTTACTCTTTCATCAAAAAAATCACAATTTTTAAATTATTTTCATGCTTGTCTGTACTATGGAAATGAAGGAAGAGAAAGGAGACAGAACCGCAGAGCACTAAGTGCCTAGGAGACGAAAAATGTTCCACAAAGGTTAAAAGAAGGAAGTTATGGAAAAGATGTTTTCTCAACACAACGTTTTACAAGGAAAATTTCCAAATTCCTCTATTTACGAAATGTTCTTTAGTTTCCTACAACAATTATTTTTCAGTTTTGATTCTGCTTCCACCGGCACCCCTGCCCATTTATAAGAAAAACGGAGAAATGAGGAAGTCAGCCGGAAAGTGGAAGTAAACTGTGCCAGCAGAAGCAGCAGCTGAAAAATAAGTTACCAGAGAAAAAGCTAAGACTGGGCGAAGGTGCAAGTAACGACCGAGGAAACAACGCATAACAAGAGAACACAAGAAGAAAACACAGACCAGTAAGCTCTTTTCCGTGCTACACTCATCAGCTCGCAGCTTTCTGGGCAGGTGACTGGAGAGGGCTCCGCCTTAGGCTCCACCCAGCTGCCTACACATCCTGGGGGCGGGGCTTGGAGGACTGAAGCCGACTCTCCAGGTTTTTGCAGGGAAGAAAAATGTGGAAGGACCACCAGAGAACATCTGAACTTTTAATTATTCCACTCAAGTTTGAATGGTTTTCTAGAAGGAGAAGTAAGTGTAATTTGGTAATATAAATACCGTGTAACAATCTGAAAATGAACTGTAAATCATTAAGATTACAATAGAACACATACAGCAATAATTCACTTAATGTAAGTAAACTGACGATATAAGCAAAAACTGTACATTAATTATATTACACTGGCTGTAAATAATATTACCCTAAATGTAAATGATATTACACTACTGGGAGGCATATACATAGTGGTCAAAGATTGTGACATTGGAGTGCCTAGATTCAAATTCCAATTCAGATACTTTCCAACTATGATCATCAGCAAGTTACTGTAAAAAGGATTTTCTAAGTGGAGATATATAATACATTATATACACTATATATATATATGTATTTAGCACAGTGCCTAGAATGCATGTAGCAAATCCTCAGAAAAGATTAGCTCTTATTATTAAAGTATATACAGGTTTGCTTAAAGAAAATATTTCTCAGGTGCCTGGGTGGCTCAGTCAGTTAAGCGTCTGTCTTTGGGCCCAGGTCATAATCTCAGGGTCCTGGGATCGAGTCCCACATCCGGCTCCCTGCTCCGCGGAGTCTGCTTCTCCCTCTGCCCTTTACGAGGCTCATGCTCTCTCTCTCTCAAATAAATAAAATTTTAAAAAAAATTAAAAAAGGGAAATACCTCTGTTTCAAATCATTAAATTACATGTTTCTTAAGTGTTTTTTCTATAAAAGACTAGATTGTGAGGCAGGATAGTCTAACTGACCCTTGAGATAATAATATATGGTTAAGTGCCCTAGAGATGTACAACATGGTTCTGGTTGGTTCAGTTTTATTTATCCTAGCAGCTTCAGCATTTATCAACCTATTTTCCTTCATTTAGTGTCTCTTTCACACAAGACAGTGTGAACTTACTGTTTCTACACAGGATTAAATGTAAATTCATAACATAATCATACATAAACTTCTAAACTTCTCAAGAAAGGTAATAATTTACAGAACTACAATATTTCCAAATAATAGAATCACTCTGTATTTTGGTTGCTGTTACCAAAATGTCTATAGGATCTGTGGGTTTAATTCAGAAGGAGTCACCGCACCTGAACTTCACAGCTACTCTGAGAATACTGTGCATATTCTACATGTTAAAGTACAGACACTGCCATTTTCTCCTGATCGGCAAGAGCAGAGATTACATTAGTGGGTAGCCATTATTCAAATATTTTCAGGTAAAGTATTAAACTATACCATACGAAACGGCAGACAATCACAATTTCACATGGTTCAGCCCAAATATATTTTGCTTATAACATACTTTTTAAAACCTATTTGAGGGAAAATAGCTTTTGTATTTGTTTTACCGAAACTATTATTTTTGTTTTCTAATAATCACTTTTGGTGGGAGAGGGAAATAAAGGAGTTATTGTTCAGTAGATATAGAGTTTCAGTCAGGCAAGATGGAAGAGTTCTTGAGATCTTCTGTACAACAATGTGCATATGGTTAAGACTACTACACTATACTTAAAAATCTGAGAGTAGATTTCACATCATTTTTTCATTACAAAAATTATAATAAAAAAGACAAGCTTAAAAAGAGAGCTCCCAATTTCTAGGCCATGCTTCTCTTGCTGGTTAAAATAAAATTTTTTTTTAAGATTTCACTTATTTGTTTAAATAATTTATTTATTTGCGAGAGAGAGAGAGAGCACAAACAGGGGAAAAAGCAGAGGGGAAGGGACAAGACCACACTGAGCGCAGAGCCCCTTGTGGGGCTCAATCCCAGGACCCAGAGCTGAGATCATGACCTGAGCTGAAATCAGGAGTTGGACACAACTGACTGAGCCACCCATGCACCCCTAAAATAAACATAATTATTAAGAAAATTTTAAAAATATCTTTTTTAATGGCATTTAATTATATCAGAGAATGTTTCATATTGACAATGACATGATATTCACTTGACCCTAGCTTAAATTTCCAACTTTAAATTCTTCATGATGCTTTCGACATAGTACTGGGTGCTCAATGTCAATTTATTATACAAATTAATATTAGTAAAAGCTATCAATTTTCAAGGGTTTTCTTTATTGAAGAAATATGTCTAACATAAAAACATGAAATTGGGGCTAGAGAACGGTTAAAAACATACTAAGTAATTTTTCTCCCACTTCTCATTCCTTGTACTCAATTCCACTAATAGATACTTTCCAAGCACATCCACTGAATTCTTTAAATTAATTCCTTCATCAGATATTTACTGAAACATTATTGAGTTCCAGGCACTCTGATGGAGCCTGGAGACAAACTGCAAAACAATATGATAGAGACTAGAGGAAGAAGCATGAAGTATTAAAGAAGCACCTTCCTTGGGGAAAGTGGGTAGAGGACACAAAGGAACCTTTAAAAGCAAGCAACACTAGAGGTAATACTTTAAGGATAAGTGGAAGCATAACAATTATGTTTCATAAGAATGAAAAATATTTTGAAAAAACTCCATTGATATTCAAAAAATCAGCAGAATCTTGTAAACCAGCTCCCCAACCAAACCCCAAATCCCAAAAATGTAGTTTGTGTTGAACTTGACCATATAAGCCAAATAGTTCAAGTACAGAGATAAAAATTCCAACTTCGGATATTTATTTTACACAATGCAAAGACCACTCATCATTTATATCAAGAAGGTACTCTTTGCTTTCACCAACACTAATATATCTTATCGACTTCTAGTGTAAATTTAGAATTAAGTTTATAACTGTTTGGTGCCAAATTAAACTACAATATGACAATATACAGATTCAAATGTAGGAGAACTTAAACACAAGCCCTTGGGGAGTCAGTGAGGAGTTCATGAAGAAAGTCATACACTGACCTTCAAAAAAGTTGAAGTTTGCCCACTCAATTTCTCCTTCCAATAAGTTTTTTGTATTAACTTCATGGCCACCAAAAAACAGATCAAGTTCAATCTTCACTGATACAAAGCTGAACTTTTTAAATGGTTATTAGATATACCTTCATATTTAACAGCCAGTCTTTAGAGGAAGGGACCACCGCATTCTCTTAGTAGTGAGTATGGAGAAAGCTTCAGGACTTCAAATACCTAGCAGGACATTGTTGGACACATTTTTAAAATTTCTTAATACATTCTGCTAACATTACTTCGTTTATATAACATTAAGAGTACAGGAAAATAAAACTTAAATTGTTAGAGAAAGCCAAATGGAGCTACCTCTTGACATGTCTGTTTAGTGAAACTACTTCAATAAAAACACACAATCTATTAAAAAGCACTAAAACTAGTGGCTAGCTTCAAGTTAACATTTTTATTGCTAAGTGTTGAAATTTCCTGCAATATTAAGATAAGGCTTAAACCCAGACAAAATCAGTCTTTAATGCTGGAAATTGTCATTTACCCCAAATATGAAGTTTTGTCTAATTTTTTCTGACAAAAAAATGTAACTTTTTTCTTCTTTTTGAGCAAGGAAAGTTATCTCTAAAGAAATAACTGCTAAATTTGCAGGATCTTTGCAGTACCTCTAACTATATGCCTTATTGACACACAGTTAAATATTTAAACAGCTGTTTCCTTCCTCTAAAGACCCAAAGAGGCAGGATCGTACTTAGCTTCTAGAGATCAAGTCCATACTCAAAAATCCTCCAGAGGGTCAGCCTTGGCGGTGGGCTCTGAAGCCGCGAGTCTGGGTTCCGCCTCCAGCCACAGAAATGGACTTATTTTCCACCCACTCCTTTTGGCCAGCAGGTTCTCCCAGTCCAGCAGTGTTAAGTATCAAAGATCCCGGGGGCATTTAACATAGGTACTTGATGCCCTACCTACGTTTACATCTTGGGGGTTTTCTTTAAAAAAACACACACAAACACTGGGCTCCACCACAGCAAGACTCAAGCCAGCCAGCTCGACCACAGGCTCGCTAGTGGATCAACCCACTGTAATCCAGGTTCTCACAGCTCCGCCCATAGCTTGACAGATAGCCAATGGCGTGTAAGGACTCTAGGAAGCGCGATGGCGCAAGCGTTGACGGCCACGTGATGACGCAGACGGCGTTACCGTCTCCAAGGAGCGGTCCGGGGCACCGGTTTCAAAGTCGCAGGGCGGGCCGAGTGGACTTCCGCTGCTGGCCCCGGGTTTCCCCGCTGTCCTGGAGTCAACCGCTCCACCCCAAACGCTCTTCCGGGGACGCCGTCACCCGGCTTCTTGCCAGCTCCTTCGGCTATCTCCTAAGTGGCCCGATACGACCCCGAGTGACCTGCGGGACGCCTATAGCCACCTGCGTCCCCGTTTTACCCGGCCGGGATTCGGGTGAACGTGGAACAAAATTCACTTGGCGGGTCCCCAGCAGACCTGAAATCTGAAGTCTGTTGCTTGAGCGACGGGCTACGCTGGGACTCGGGAGAAGAAGGCGCGGCGGGGCTGTTGACGCCGCGTGAGTAGGATGCTGATTACACCGCTCGAGTGCTTGACAACCTCCGGAGCGTTGCTTTAGTTTTGTTTTCCCGCACAGCGAGCTGTGGGGTTTTTCTTTTTCGGTGGTGGTGGGGGTCGGGGGGGGGGGGATTGTTTTGTTTTTGTTGTTTTTGAAGAAAGTGAAGGTGGTGAAAGCTCCAAACTAAAATTCTATCGAAATGGCCACAGAAATCGACTTTCTGAGAGATCAAAGTAAGCTCCATATTCCTTTATTGAGAATTCTTACATCTAAGGTTTAATGTCGTCATTGCTGACCAACTAATGTTTTTCTAATGCCTGTTTGGTGCATGGAAATTTGTAAAAATTTAAGTTAGCTTTGCGAAAAGCTTGGTAGTATGTATGAGGATGTGTATATATTTAAGCAGAACTGTTTGGTAAATCCTTGTAAGGCTCCTTTAGCTTACATGGGACTCTACTAGACACTAAACATGGTTGTTATGCTCCTCGCAAGCTCTGGAGAAATTAGAGGGCTAATGGCCAGGAAGAGTTTCCAAGTCTGCCATTAGAACCTGGAGGCACAGTTCTGGCCATTTGTAAAGAGATGTTTATTGAACTCCTCCTGTTTCAGTTATGTGCCAGGCTCTATACAGGCAGAGCTGCTGCAAAGATGAGGAGGACAGTTCTACCCTCCAAGAATTTAATTTGAGTTAGGAAATACATAAATTCCATACCCTGAAGTGGCAGCAAGTGCTAACTCTTTTGCCTCAGTTTCCTCATAGGGTTGTTGGAATGATTAAATGAGTATTAAAATACGTAAAGGATTTATAATAGTATCTGACACTAAACAAATGTGCTAAACAAATATTAACTGTTACATGATTATTAGCTGTGGTCAAAGGAGGTGACATTTGGGCTGAAATTTGAAGTACTAATATGAATTTACTAGATAAAGAACTGTGTAGGTATCCCAAATAGAATAGTGTATGCAGCGCTGAGGGAATTAGGAAGATGTTTTGTTAAAGATTTGCAAGAAGGTTGGCTTGTATGGAATGTGGTTTATATAGGCAAATAGCAAGTGGAGCTGAAAGGGAAGAATGGGGCTGGATAGTGAAGGGCCTTGTCTGCTGTGTGTTGAGTTTGGACCATTGCACAGGTTATAGGAACCACTGAAAGGAATTCACTTGAGAGCAGCATGATCAAATTGTGATTTGGAAAACCTGGTATGGATGTTATGAGGAATATGCATTATAGCAGAGTACAGTTAGGTGACTATTACATAGGAAGTGAACTAAGGTAGTACAGTGAGATTGGAGATTAGGAAATCAGAGAAAATGAGGTAGAGGGCAACTGAGCTTTTTGCATTAAGCAACAGGGAAGGTAGGAAAAAAGTGCTAAGTTCCATTTTGGAAGCTTTATAAACCAGTGGTTAAGAACTCAACCTCTCGATTCAGTCTGTCTAGGTTCATATCCTGGCTTTATCTCTTTTCAGGTCTTCGACCTTTGGCAAGTTACTTAGCTCCTCTGTGCCTTAGTTTTCTCATTTGTAAAATGGGAAGAATAGCACAATAACCCTCATGGGGTTGTAAGGATTAAACGAGATGATGTAAATAAAGCATGGTTTCTAGTACATATTAAGTGCACTATATATATATTATCTAAAATTATTGATGCACTATAATGATACTGTAACATTAGCATTATTTCTCAGGTTTGAAGTGGGAGTATCTGCCACCCCATAAGGAAGACTGGCTGGCCACCATCTTGAGTGGTGGGAGACAATAGTTGGGTGATGAATTTGGTCGGGGTGGGGAGGATACCCAAGTCACCCCAAAACTATGAGTTTAAGAGGAATGAGCCAGCCATTTTTTCCTTTTAACTGGACCTAGTGTGCCAGTTACAGCTGAGTGGGTTACCCCAGTAGGCAAAACGCCTAGACACCTAGCTGAGGTAAATACAGATGGCTTGACCTTCTCCCACCTATTCTAATCTTGTCTACACTGACTTCTTGATCTTGATTGCCTCTTTTTATTTGTTCCATTTGGATTTGGTGCTTCTCAACTTGGCAACCCCTGTGATAAAGCATTAGCTTTACAAATGACTACAGGCAATTCCAAACCAACCATGCTTCTAGTAAACTCCTAGCATATTTCCCACCTCCATCTGAGAAGGGAAATCTGATAGTCCTTAGGGACTTGTTCAAAGAGATACTTGTTTATCAAGCTAAGGAATGAAAAATCATTCTTGTAGTGGGGACTTGGGAAGTGGAGATGCACTTATTTTTTCTTTTCATTCTCTGTAAAGTGTTCTTCATAGAGCAAAAGTTTTTAATTTTGATGAAGTTCTCAATTTGTTCTTTCATGGATGTCATATCTAAGAAATCTTTGCTTAATCAAAGGCTGCAAAGATTTTCTTCTGTTTTATTCTAGAAATTTTGCAATTTTTGGTTTTACATTTAGATTTATGATCCATTATGATCCATATTTGATCCATTTTACATTTAGATTTATGATCCATTTTGTATAAGGTGCAAGATAAGGGTCAAAGTTCACTTTTTTGCATATGAATGCAATTGAAAAGACTATCCTTTCTCCATTGGATTACCATTGCACCTTTGCTAAAAATCATTTGTCCTTGGGAAGCCTGGGTGGCTCAGTTGGTTAAGCATCTGCCTTCAGTTCAGGTCATGATCCCAGGGTCCTGGCATCAAGCCCTGTATCAGGCTCCCTGCTCAGCGGGGAACCTGATTCTTCTCTCTCTGCCACTCCCCAGCTTGTGCTTTCACACTTGCTCTCTCTCTCTCTCTGTCCAATAAATAAATAAGATCTTTAAAAAAAAATCATTTGTCCTTATTTGTGTCCCATTTCTGGACTCTATTCTGTTCCATTGATTTGTTTATCTCTTTGAGCACCAGTATTCCAGTGTTTTGATTATTGCAGCTTTATAAGAAGTCATAGAATCAGATGATGTTAGCCTTTCAAATTTGTTCTTTTTCAATTATTTTGGCTATCCTAGGTGCTTTGCATTTCCATATGAATTTTGGTATCAGCTTGTCAATTTCTTCAAAAAGATATTGAGATTTTGAGAGGCATTGCATTGAATCTGTTGATCAGTATGTGTAGGATTCATATCTAATGATATTGAGTCCTCTTATGAATGAAAAGATATATTCTCTCCATTGATGTATGTATTCTTTTATTTCTCTCGGCAGCATTTTGTAGTTTTTAATATATAGGTTTTGCACATCTTTATCAGATTGATCCCTATGTATTCTGTTTTTGATACTATTGTAAATGGTATTATTCTTTTACTTTTGATTTCTAATTTATCATTGCTAATATATAGAAATACATCCTTTTTTTTGGAATATTGTACCCTGAAACCTTTTTAAACTCACTTATTCTCATAGGTTGTTTTTAGAATTCATCAGATTTTCTGCATAGATAATCTTTTCATCTGTTAATACAGTTTTACTTACTCCTTTCCAATTTGGATGCCTTTCATTTCCTTTTCTTGCTTTATTGTACTGGCTAGAACTTCCAGTACAGTGTTTGAACACAAGTGGTTGGACTGGGCATCCTTGTCTTTTTCCTGCTCTTAGGGTACAAACATCTGTCTTTCAAAAATTAAATAGGATACTATAGATTTTTTGTAGATGTTTTTAAAAGGTTGAAAATACTTCTTTCTATTCCTAGTTTTCTGAGACTTTATCAGAATGGATGTTGAATTTTTTTTTCAAATGCTTTTTCTGCATTTATTGAGAGGATCGGATTTGTTTTCACTTTTAGTTTGTTAATAGGGTGACTTACATTGATTAATTTTCATATTTTAAGCCTGTCTTACCTCTCTTTTTGGGATAAACTACTCTTATTCATGTATTATCCTTTTTATATATTATAGATTTGATTTTTTGAAAGTTTATTTAAAATTTTAATTTTCTATGTTCATAAAGCCTTTTTTCCCCCCTTCTAATTTCTTTGCCTGGTTTTAGTATGAGGCAATGCTTGCCTCATAGAATTTGTTGGAAAATATTTTGTTTTCTTCAATTTTCTGGAAAAGTTTACATAGGATTAACATTATTTCTTCCTTAAATGTTTGGTAGAACTTACCAGTAAAGTCAACTGGATCTAGAGTTTTCTTTGTGGAAAGATTTTAAACTAAAATTTAATTTCTTTAATAGATAAAAAGCTACTCAGTTGTTTGTTGTGTACTGTTGTTTTGTTTTTGTTTTGGGTTTTTTGTTGTTGTTTTTGTTGTTGTGTACTGTTGTATACAGAGACCCTCCACAGATTTCATATATCCAGAGTTCTCTCTCTGTGTAGCTTTCTCTCTCATGCTTTGCCTTGCCAATTCTAGTTCACTTTGTCTCCACTTCCTTAACTCAGTCGGCCTATCTCTGAGGCCTGCATTTTCCCTCTTTGTGCCACGGACTAGAAAGACTCTCAAGTCATTAAGTTGGAGCAGTCATAGGGTTTACCTCATTTGTTTTGCATCTGTCATCATTATTGTCTGTTGTCTAGCATCTTGCAAACCATTATTTCATTCATTTATTTGCTTTTGGTTGTATTGAGTGGGAAGGTGGTCCTTGTTACTTCATCTTAGACATAAGCAGAAGTCTATTCAAATTACCCTGCTTTTGAAATCTCAAACACAAGTTTCTTACTCCCACTGTAACTGTTCTTTGGCTTCATCAAGACTTCTGTTCTTTGAACTCTTCATTTTCCTCTATTTCCTTAACTCTTTCCCAGCTTGTTTTTACTACTTTCTCTTTTTAAAAAGGTTTATTCATTTGGGGGGGAGAGAAGAGCGTGTGCACAAGTTGGGTGTGCAGAGGGAGAGACTCTCAAGCAGATTTCCCACTGAGCATGGTGCCTGACATGGGGCTCTGTCCAACAACCCTGAGGTCATGACCTGAGCCGAAACCAGCTAAACCGACTGAGCCACCCAGGCGCCCCTGTTTTTACTACTTTCTTTACTGTAACCATTGCCTATAACCATTGCCCATTAGTTCATCTGCTCTTTTGTCAGTAATCTTTTTTAAAGATTTTATTTATTTATTTGAGAGAGAGTGAAAGCAAAAGAGATCATAGAGAGAGAGGGAGAAGCCGACTTGCTATTGAGCAGAGAGCCCGATGTGGGGCTCCATCCCAGGACCCTGGTATCATGACCTGAGCTGAAGGCAGTCGCTTAACTGACTGAGCCACCCAGGCACCCCTTTTTTGTCAGTAATCTTAATATGATTATACTGCTTTTTT